CACTAAACCGTGCCTTTACCCACCAAGTTTGACTCACTTTAGTCGGTCCTACCTCCGTATATCCACACGGCATCGACAAGAGTACTTTATAACTATAATAAAACATTTTTTGTAATTATTTATTTATTGTATAGCCCACACTTATGTTCAAAAATTTTTTAATTTTTATATGTCGAAAATTAAAGAGCATTTTACGCTGAAAATAACGATGTGTATTAAAATCACGTTCCAAAAAATCATTTTTCAGATATAAATCGAACAAAATCGTCTCTATGTAGGATAATTCTGGCAATATACTGCGCTGGGATTTATGCCGCAGAAGTAAAAAAAAATAAAAAGAGTGGGGGAGTTTTTTGCCGTAATTACTCTCTTACATGCCTTTATGTTAGTATTGTGTTAATGATTTTAATTTCTTACTGTTAATGTTAATGAAATTGTGAGTTGAATCGATTTGTCACTGTCTCAGCAAATGAGAATGGATAAAAATGGATTGAAATTTTTTTCTATTCGAATGCGTATTTTAAATAGCGAATACTTTTTTTGGATTTAATTGGATTCAATTAGATATAATTGGATTAAAAAACTGCATTTCCTATTCAAAATTTTGAATTAAACAGTATTTACAATTGTGTGTTTGTGCACAGGAAAAGCTAATATTATTTTTAGATTAAAAGGCATAGAGATATCTATGCAATGCTTCATGCAATTCCTATAAATGAATAAAAATGCATTCAGGATTGCAAAGCATTTATTTTAACATTCGTGAATCAATATTTCTAAAAATCTGAATCCATTTCAATTCATTTCAATCCATTTTCATTTGTTGGGGTGTTAAGTAGTGCCATCATAAATTATAATCTACATAAAATAATTACTTTAGGACGTGCAAAAGACTTAGTGGTTATTTCGTGAGTGTAGAGGAATAGTAAAGCATGTTGTATAACAAAATACAAATACTTAAATACTTGCTCTTGTTTCTTCGTTTAATTTGTTGTCTTGTATATCCCACCTGTTTGGGATATACGGCATTTTTAACGGGCTGAATTTATGCAATAAACGTATTACATGAAATATGTACCTCATGTCATAACATTTGTAATACATGTGGGAAGATTGTAATTATTATTGTTGAGACTTGTCATGCCACCTATGGATTATATAAGCAATACATGTTCGTGTCGCCACTAGCGTCGCTTAGCAGCGCTGCGCGCTTGTTTCTTTGTTTGATCGATATCGACACATGTAACGGCGACGTTCGTCCGATCGGTTGTATCTTTTGGTTCTCTTGCACACGCTCTGTTTCTTTCTTTGCCTTCACTCGAGTTTCGTCAACAGGTTATGGGCCCAGGACGACGCGAGAATTAACAAAGTGAACGCGAAGTGCCTGAACGCGAAGTGCGTGAACGCGAAGTGCGTGCGTGGATACAAAAAGGGGAATAATAACCGATTCTTCCTTTCGAGAACAATCGAGAACAACGCGAGCGCGGAACAAGATGGCGTCTCAACACACCGTCCGCATCGAGCCGCTCGGAAAAGATAATTATGACACGTGGCGCATACAAATGGAGGCCCTGCTCGTCAAGAGCGATTCGTGGTCCGTCGTGAGCGGAGAAACGGCAAAACCTGAAGCCGTCGAGGGAAATGCGAATACCGCCGCTGCCAGAGCAGCATGGGAGAAAACCGACCGAACTGCGAAGTCTGATATCATCTTAGCAATCAGTCCGTTCGAACTGAAACTCATCAAAGGATGTGTGACGTCACATGCCTTGTGGCAAAAGCTACAGGCGACATATCAGTCGGCAGGACCAGCGCGAAAAGCGTCACTGCTCAAGAAGCTGATACTTCATCGAGTGAGCGACGGGGAAGATATTCGTGATCACATTCGTGATCAGCGCGATTTTTTCGACACCGTCGATAAATTGGGAGAGATGAACATCGAGGTAAATCCAGACTTATTAACGGTCATGCTGTTGTACAGTCTCCCGCCGGCATTCGAGAACTTTCGGTGCGCGATCGAGTCGCGAGACGCGTTGCCGACGCCGGAGGCGTTGCGCATAAAGATCGTCGAGGAAGCCGACGCGCGCAGGGGCGATCTATTTGTCGGTTCTCAAACGCCGAAAGCCCTTGCCGCGAAGATGGCGCGCGCGAAGAGGGGCCAATCCGCGCAGTCGAAACCGAAGACGAAACGGGACGAACGACATAATCCGAAAAGTGCCGATCTCAGCCGAATAAAGTGTTTTCGATGTAAACGCTTCGGGCATAAAGCGATTGACTGTGGAAAGTCGCGCGAGGATGACGAAGTGCCGCAAAAAGTCGAGAGTTTAAGCATGTTCACATCGTTGGATTTTTCGCCACTGCAGAACGCTTTCGAAGTCGAAAACGCGCCGGAACGCGAAAAATGGTGTCTCGATAGTGGCTGTTCCACCCACTTGTGTAGAGACATGCGTGATTTCTTAGAAATCTCGAAGGTTGCACACGGAACGTTGAACCTTGCTACAAAGGCCTCCGCGGAAATCAAGGCTCGCGGAACAATTTCGTTTACGGGCGATGTCAACGGCGTAACAAAACGAGTGAGCGTGAAAGACACATTACACGTTCCGGAGTTAAGAACGAACTTACTCTCAGTCGGAAAAATTACTGACCGTGGATATAAAGTAATTTTCGATAAGCTTACGGCAAAAATCGTGGACAAACGCAATAACAAGACAGTTCTGATCGCGGATCGAAAGAATGAACTTTATTACATCCGCGAGTCAAGGTCTGAGTGTTGCGCGGCGATCAAGGAAAATGAAGATCGAACTTTAAAAACCTGGCATCAAAAGATGGGACATTTAAATGTTCGCGATCTAGTGAAGTGTGTCCGAGCGGGCGACGTTCGAGGTATCGAACTAGACGACGCGACGAGCGATTTAGCGTGCGAGGTTTGTGCTCGCGGAAAGATGACACGCGCTCCCTTTCCGAAAAGGACGGGACGAAAGTCCGAGTTACTGGAAATTGTGCACACCGATATCTGTGGCCCTATGCGAACTGAGTCCATTATTATTCCTCGGATTATTTTCTCTTTCCAAACTTGAAAAAATGGCTCGGTGGTATAAGATTTACCAACAATGAAGAGGTGGAGTCTGCGGTTAATGGCTATTTGAGGAGTTCAACGGTTCTTACTATAAACAGGCCATCGAAGCTATTGAACATCGCTGGGAAAAGTGTATCGAGCTAAAAGGAGAGGACTATGTTGAGAAATAAAGATATTTTTTCCCAAATTTTTTGTGTTTTCTTTGTTAGATCGGGTACTTCTGGGACCACCCTCGTACCTCTCCCCTCTCCCTAGTAGCCTATATCCCACTCCAATGGAATATACAGCAAAACTGCAAGGGTTTAAAAAAGTTCATTTTTCAATACGAAATAATAAATATTTCGGATTTCTAATATTTTTTTCATAATAATAGACAGTACAATAATAATAATAATAGTACCAATAACAATAGTGACTCTGTAAAATTGCTAAAATCATTTAAATACTTTTATATCAAAGAATATACGAAATATTTTGGACATTTAAAAACAAAGCGTCAATAAAGAAATTATTACGTTTATAAAATTTTATTTATTTTATTTTCATTGTAGAGCAGCTAATTTCAATGTTGACATGAATAATGTTTTAATAAGATGTTAATTGCGTTTTATTAATGCGATGCTATGCAGGAAATAGATTTTCTGACGCATTGTTTTGTGTGCATATGTTGTTAATGTGAAAAAAGTAGTTATAACGCATTTTATTAATGTAACACTATGTCAGAAATAGATGTGCTCTTATGTACAGTAAGCCAGTAGCATTGATTATGAATTGTACAGTGGGTTGATACTGTCAACTTTTTAATGGAAATAACGTGCAAGTGCGGTACTTCTTATCAATTAAAATGGATATAATATGCAATTGTGATGCTTATCAATATAAGTTGGAAGTAACGTAAATGCAGTGTTTCTTATCAATTCTTAACAAAGATACTTATTTCAAAAATTAAAAAAGTAGATAAGTTAAAAAATGAGCAAAACAAAGATCTAATTTAAAAATATGCGTATAATATTTCACTTTACATTACAAATTAATATTCGATATTGTATAGATAACATATGGAATGTTTCGACTATACTTCTACTACACTTATAACGATAAGTTTTCATCAGCCAAATTTTGAATCACAAAATTTTAAAATTAATATAAAATATTTAAATGTTGCATGAACTCTAAGAATAAAATTATAAAGTATATATTCATGTCGCAATAAATATTGTATAAAACGTCAAAAAATATTTAAAAATTGCAAAGCATGTAGTCACGTCGCAATAAAAATCATAAATCGTCTAAAGATATCAAGACTATTTCATCGTTGGACAGCGAGAAAGAGCAGAGTCAATTAATGTGGGAGCCTGATTCTAAGTTTAAACCGCCCGCGGCTCAAGAGCAGACAGAGGTAAGAAGTCTGGAGGCAATGGAGACGAAGCGGAAAGAGGGCGCGGAGGAAAAAAGAAAAAAACAAGAGAGGGAGAAGACACACGGCGAGCAGCAAGATGAGCAGCGAGAAGCGCGACGAGAGATACGAGAGATAGGAGATATATGGACATCCATCCCGTGGTTGTATCAATACTGAAATATATATTCTAGATCTATCAAACAACGAGGTGTTATGTGCGTTTTTTTTATAAGCTTTCCACATAAATGGGGGCTCGTCCGGGATAGATAGAAGTTACAGGATCAAGGTTATAAAAAAACGCAAGACGACGAAAATCGACGACGATAGGACGCTATCGAAAAAAGGTACGACGCGAGTAAAGACGACGTATACGAAGACGACGCGTACGACGACGACGCGTGCAACGACGACGCGTAGTAAGACGACGCGCGAAAAGACGACGCGCGGAAAAACGATACGCGAAAAAGACGAAACGAGGAAGGACGACGAAAGATCTTGAAGGACGACGAAAGCATAATCACTGACGTCATGACGACTCTAGGAAATATCGGTAGAGTAGAGAAAAATATTACGAAAGCGCCTGTTAAGGTGGCGAGAATTCTACACCGGATTGTTTACAATCAAGAAGGTGATCGGCGGAATCGCAAACGCTTGAGGCAATTCGAAGGATTCATTTTTGACGCTGATTCAGATGAGTATAAGAATAAAGTATCCTCACTCAGAAGAGATTTTGACGAGAAAGATTTGGCTGCAACGTGTAGTCTCTTATGCCTTGATTATTCAGGTGAAAAGGGAGAGCTAGCAAACAGAATAATAGAAGGATTGCGAGATTTGGCAATAATCGAAGAAGCTGCTGGAAAGGAAGAAGACGAGGATGAAGCTGAAGAAGATGACGAAGAGGAATCTGAGCGTGAAGAGATACAAGAAAAACAGAATGTTATTAGAACTAACACAACAGAATCAGCGGGATATCGATTCTCATTCGGTTTCCGTGATATTGAGAATGCAGTCCGACAGTTTGATGGAGAAAAAAGCTTGCCAGTCCGCAAATGGATAGAAGAATTTGAAGATACGGCAACACTTTTAAAAACTAGTGTTTGGCAAAAAGTCGCTTACCGGTTTGGCTAAACTATACATACAAAGTGAGACAGGTATTACCACCTGGAGGAAATTAAAGAAAGCTCTGATAGAGGAATTCGACGTTAAGATTACAGATGCGGATCTCCACCGACAACTGACTAGGAGAAGACGTATGAAGGAAGAATCTATACAACAATATTTCCTTATAATGAAAGAGATAGCAAGCAAAGGAAATATAAAAGACGACTCATTGATGGAATATGTCATTGACGGAGTAGACGACGAAAGCGTTAATAAATCTATCTTATACGGAGCTGAGACTATTAAGGAATTTAAAATCAAGTTGTGTCATTTTGAGAGAATGAAGGAGAAAACAACGGCGAAAGTGACACGGGATAAAGATCTCAAGAAGTCGAATAAAGATAGCACAACCAGGACAGAACAATTTAAAGACCGAAATAAGACGAATCATTGTTACAATTGTGGTGACACTGACCACAAATCCGCTGAATGTAAAAACAAAAACAAAGGTCGAAAATGCTTTAAGTGTAACAAGTTTGGACATATTTCCAAGGAATGTAATGAGAGACAAACCAAGGACACTACTACTTCTGTTAATAACATACTAGTACAACTGAAGAGGATGAGGATTAAAATAACGATAAATGGTAAAGAGATTGAAGCTCTTGTGGATACAGGATCGCAACCGAACTTGCTCAGAAACGATGTTTATCAAACTATTGGAAAACCAGACCTGAAGAAAGCTGATCTACAACTACACGGGTTTGGGCAAAGCTACACTATACCAAAAGGATATTTTACGACGCAACTCGAAATAGACGGAGATGACTTCGAGACTAAATTCTATGTGGTATCAGATGATGCAATGAAGTTCCCTGCAATGATTGGCAATGATCTTTTGGAAGACGCTGAGTTAATAGTCAATCGGAATGGGGTGCATATAATCAAGTCGAGTCCGAACCAGGAATTGCCTACAGCAATTGTCAACATGGTAGAAAAGTTGGAATTGGACATTGGAGATAACGTCGATGAAGGAACTAAACGGAAAGTTGAAGAAATTGTCAACAAGTACATCCCGAATAAGATTAAGAGTACTGATGTCGAAACGGTTATTACAGTCAAAGATGAAGAACCTGTCTATAGTAGTCCAAGACGAATGTCACCTTCCGAGAAGAAGATACTTGACGAACAAGTTCAGGAATGGATTGAAAAGAAGATAGTCGAACCTTGTGTGTCAGAATATGCAAGTCCAGTGGTAATAGCATGGAAGAAGGATCGATCGCCGAGAGTTTGTATCGATTACCGTCGATTGAATAAGAAGATCTATAAGGACAGATATCCATTGCCCTTGATAGAGGACCTGCTAGATAAATTACGAAGAACAAAAGTGTTTTCAGTCCTTGACTTGAAGAGTGGATTTTTCCATGTGCCGGTGGCACCAGACAGTAGAAAATATACAGCATTTGTGACCTCAAGCGGACAATACTGGTTCCTCAAGACGCCAATGGGATTAAGTATTGCTCCACCTGTTTTTCAACGATATATCAATACGGCTTTTCGTCAGCTGGTTCAACAAGGTACCATTTTAGTTTATATGGACGATATAATCATTCTAGCATTAGATGAGAACGAAGCACTGGAACGACTGCAAATTGTTTTGAAGACTGCCAGCGAGTACGGGTTAGAACTTAATCTAAAAAAATTAAAGCTGTTAAAGAAACGAATTGAGTTCCTAGGTTACATAGTCGAGAATGGGTCAATATCTCCATCGCCTGATAAAACATTAGCCGTGATTAGATTTCCTGAACCGAAAAGTTATAAGCAAGTACAAAGCTTTTTGGGTCTTACTGGATATTTCCGGAAATTCATCCCGAGATATTCGATTCTAGCTAAACCACTTAGCGATCTGCTTAAGAAGGATGTTGATTTCCAATTTGGAAGGGATCAACGGATAGCTTTCAATAAATTAAAAGAACTTCTATCTGAGAAGCCGGTGTTACAGATATATCATCCAGACTACGAAACGGAAGTACATACCGACGCTAGCAAAGATGGATATGGAGCAGTGCTTTTGCAAAAATCGCCGGAAGATGGGAAAATACACCCTGTCTATTACATGAGCAAAAAGACGACCCCAGCTGAATCTAACTATAGCAGCTACGACCTTGAAGTGTTAGCTGTAATAATGGCTCTGAAGAAGTTTCGGGTATATCTGCTCGGAATCAAATTTGATATCATTACCGATTGTTCTGCCTTTCAACGAACCATGGACAAGAAAGACATAATACCACGAATCACCAGATGGGCGTTGATGCTCGAGGAGTTCGAGTATACCATCAAACATCGTTCTGGTACGAGGATGCAACATGTCGACGCTTTAAGCCGTTTTCCGGTAATGTATGCTCTTTCTAACGAACTAACCACTCGAATTAAACGTGCTCAATTAGACGACGAGAAGATTAAAGCTATCATTGAAGTGTTGAAAGAGAAGCCTTATGAAGATTATACTATTATTGACGGAATTTTGTTTAAATTCAGTAAAGGAAATGACCTATTGGTAGTGCCAAAGGGAATGCAAACTGAAATCATCAGGAATAGCCATGAAAGAGGACATTTCTCTGTGAAGAAGACGGAAGAGATAATACGGCAAGACTACTACATATCGAATCTCAACGCTAAGATTATACGAGTTATCGAGAACTGCATTAAGTGCATAATCAACAATAAGAAGGCCGGAAGAAAAGAAGGTTTGTTACATCCGATCTTCAAAGGAAGCTTACCTTTTCAGACGTATCAAGTTGATCATGTGGGTCCTATGGAATCAACGCACAAGGGATATAACCATCTCTTTGTGGTGGTAGACAGCTTTACTAAATTTGTCTGGGTATATCCTGTTAAGTCGACCACCAGCCGGGAAGTAATCAACAAGTTGGAACTACAGAAAACGACATTCGGCAATCCGTCACAGATTGTTGCTGACCGCGGAACCGCTTTTACGTCGCAGGAGTTCAAGGACTATTGCATTTCCGAAAATATTGAATTAAAATTCATCACCACGGGTCTACCCCGAGCAAACGGACAGGTAGAAAGGGTTAACGCAATTATAGTAAACGTTTTAGCCAAGTTATCTACAGACAATCCTACAAAGTGGTATCAGCATGTAGCAGCAGTCCAGAGAGCTATCAACTCTACCTATCAACGAAGCATTAAACGAACCCCATTCGAACTTTTAACCGGAGCATGGATGCGTGACAAGACGGATCTCAAGATAACTGAACTATTACAAAATGAAGTCGTAGATCAATTCGATGCGGAAAGAGATACTATACGTAAGGAGGCTATAGAACAAATCTCTAAACTACAAGACGAAAATCGAAGAAACTTTAACAAACATAGACGTAAAGCTTCTCAACACCGAGTTGGCGACTTAGTTGCCGTAAAACGAACGCAGTTGGGTCCTGGACTCAAGTTAAAGCCCAAATATCTAGGACCCTATCGAATAGCTAAGGTCAAAGCCAACGATACGTATGACGTGATTCGGGACGGAGCTCACGAGGGTTCCAAGAATACCACTACTTGTGCAGAATACCTCAAACGTTGGAGGGACTTTGAGCTATCATCCGAGTCGGATGACTCGCAGGAGGGCCGAGTGTGGGAGCCTGATTCTAAGTTTAAACCGCCCGTGGCTCAAGAGCAGACAGAGGCAAGAAGTCTGGAGACAATGGAGACGAAGCGGAAAGAGGGCGCGGAGGAAAAAAGAAAAAACAAGAGAGGGAGAAGACACACAGCGAGCAGCAAGATGAGCAGCGAGAAGCGCGACGAGAGATACGAGAGATAGGAGATATATGGACATCCATCCCGTGGTTGTATCAATACTGAAATATATATTCTAGATCTATCAAACAACGAGGTGTTATGTGCGTTTTTTTTATAAGCTTTCCACATTAATAAATTATGTGTTAATAAATTATGTGTAGTCAAAGGTTGATTTAAATATATCGCAATATGTATTTGTATAAAAGATAAAATCAATTATAAAAGAATCGTAAAAAAAGATTAAGTGAAATTTAAAAATTATAAATTTACAAGGAATATTCGTTTCTGTTAATGATAAGAATTCATATTATAACGAGCGTCGACAGGCAAATATGATAGATATTATTTATGTTAAATCGATGATACTATATGTTAAAAATAATAAGGTCAAAAACTTTAATACATACGAAGTCTGTTCAAAAAGTATCGTGAATTTTGAATTTCCGCGGGTTACGTATGTTCGATTTTCGATTTTTTGTGGCGTTATGTTGGTACTCATGTCTCTCACTTATGCCGACAAATTCGGCCATTTTGAATGATCAGTTAATTTTTGATAGCTGCTTTACTTGCACGTGTTTTGGCTCGTCTTCGATTTTTACCTATTCCAAAAAATGGATCAAAGAATCTGTATCAAATTTTGTGTGAAAAACAAAATTAAGTGCGCGGACGCATTCCGAATGTTGACTGTGGCATATGGTGAAGCTACCTTGGACCGAAGCAACGTTTATCGGTG